GTTTCACAAACATACACACAGGATTTCACACACTCACTCGCATGCACAGATTTCACAAAGATGCACACAGGGTTTTACAAGCACTCACAGGTGTCTCACACACACCTGCGCTGTAGCAGCTGCTGAAGGCCTTGTCCTCACTGTCCGGCATGTTCTTGGAGCATTTCATCAAGATCGTCTCGTTGCCGTGGAGATTCTTCTTGATCACATGACCCATGGCAAAGGTGTGGTCCCCATACAGGACCTGTCAATCACGCACACCGGCTGGTAAGAATCAGCACGGTGCTGGTGAACCGGACACGAGCTTTCACACCCTCCACAGAGCAGAGCACTTGTTAAGTGTGCAGTCAGAAACCCGAGCAAATACACACCTAGAACGTCCATTGAACAGATCAAGCAAAAAAACTTTATATTTATATTATTAGATTTGTTTCATTTCTAATAGAATGACAGCGTGGCGTAGAGGCAGCGGCAGAGAGTTGTGGTCAGAGCCCTGAACCCCAGGCTGGGGGGCTCGGGGTTCAAATCCCTGGTGTGGCACAGCAGCCGGTTCCCCTCCTTCAGACAGCTCCAGTCAGTGCCCACCTGTACACATGGGGTTCCAGGCTGCTGTGGGAACTGATTCTCTCTGACGAGGCACTTTTTAAATAACAAAGCCAGCTCTGTGTTTTAAACAGGCAAGGGCTTAGAGAATCACTGAGTAGCTGTTTGCCCAGAGTCACTAGTCTTCAGCTTATTGATCCCTGGATCTCATGCAGCTGCTTCTTACAGGATCCCAAGGGATCTTTTTTAACAACACAGTTGGAGCTGGGCAGCTTGTTCCACACACCCACCTCCTTTAGAGTAAAGACACCCAAGTCCCAGGTCTCAAGATACACATGCACAATATCCGAGTTGCGATGCCCTGCCCATTTCATGGTTGGGACTGAGGCAATCCCTCAATGCTGGCCTTCGTCAATAATGTCTGAGGAACTGCCTCTAAATCGCCACTGTTCAAGACTCAAGACATTCAGCTCCTGCAGGCTGCTTGAGCAAGATACGACTTCACACGGCTTTCACTGCAGCTACCTGGCTGTAGATGTGGTAGAGGCCTCCAGTTTTCACCGTCACTGTCTCCCCCGACACCTGCAACCCCCTCCCCTGCCGATACCCCTCCCCCCAGGAGATAGAGGTGCTGTCATCTTCATCTGAAACATGAGAGAGGGGTTAATACAGACACACTGGACACTACAATCCATTAACACTGCACTGAGAGAGAGAGGGGTTAATACAGACACACTGGACACTACAGTCCATTAACACTG